TGAAACGTGTGTATTCATTATGATCAAACAGAAGAATAATTCCCTCATTGTGAGAAAACCCATAATGCTTTCTGCCAGGTGAAAACATTCAACCAGCTCATTTCTTGATGTTCTCATGAGAACGACAGGTTACATAACCATTCAGCTTGGCTCTCCATCTGTTCAGGATGTTTGGCCACTCATTCTACTGCCTTTGGGGGTTGTGGGATCATGGGAAGTCTTTTCAAACGTCTTTTAATGGCTGGATAAGCACCATCGGACGTCCCACCTCTGTTAAAAGAGAAACAAGTTGTTTTGCATTGATGTTGTGCAATAGATAAAGGATGTTTAGCTAATAGCTGCATGAATGATTTTGGACTTTTATTTATAATTATATATTCTGAAACCACAGACTATAAACGGTTTTGCTTACAAAAGTTATCCCATGTGACAAATTTAGTCTATAAAATTTAGTTAAACTATATAATTTTAGTTAAAGTAAAATTAACCTTAAACATGACATTAAGTGAGACCTGGGGCCAGTTGTGTACACTTAGTCATTATTAAGACAAAAGGGTGATCAATCATACTCGTCAGATTAGACCAATCGATGTATTTATGTAATTGACTTATAAAAGACCAGTCTGGTGAATAGTCTAAGCAATTCTTAGTCTATGCAATTGGCCACTGGTCTAATAGTTAGAGATTCATTCTTACAACCACAACAAAAGTTGATATCATGTGAAATCTGAACTTACCTCAGTGACAGTGATTATAATGTGTAAATCTTCTGTGATTAACTCGTCAGGCCTGGTACGGTGGTCTGGTCTCTGCCTCTATAAAACAGGACAGCACATACAGCAATATGAAGCCTAGGTTTTAAAAGGCAAAGAAAGACATCAATATCACCTGAAGGGAAAGCAAAAAAATGTCATATCCCAAGGACAAATTCACAGGTGTGTGATGCATCACAGTTTCTGTAAAAAAAGACATATTAGTAAAGGTTTTTTTAGGTACAAAACAGGCTTTGTGTTTAGAACATGCTGGAAATTGTATCATATTGGGATTCCTTGAGTAAAGTCCTGTTTTATGGCAAAAGTGGTAACGTATTTTCTATTAATTCATATAATTACAGGAAATGTACAAAAATATATAAATGGCATTGTACAATATTATTTATTTTTACAACAATATTAGTTGTCAAGAAAGTGTGTTGAATTTCAGTGTGGTGATTCCATGGAATGATGCTGCAGAAGTAGAAGCCAAGCATTCAACAAAATGAGTTTACTCCCAGTGTAGATGTAAAGGACATTTTCAAATTAACTCATTAGTAAAGTGAATAAAGACCAAAAGTTGCCCACCTAAAAATGTGTAAAAAATTGTTTTGAATGGAAAGTTATATAAATTTAGAAAATTGTGGAGAAGAAACTGTAATGGGGATTTCAATAGAGAGCTGCCTTGCAATCCCAAATGAAATGCCTGAACTCTTCAGTTTCGAGTATTTGAGAACAGCTTGTGCCCTACTCAGATACTGTTAAACAGGACGATGCATATTTATAATGACTTGATGCTGGACTCTACTTTTTATTGATAGTTTTCTGGAATAATTTGATCAGAATTTCTTCTTGTGGAGGCTTCAGTTGTTAATCCAGAGCGGCTGGATGGGGGACATCTGACTGTTCAGACAGAGAAAAGATAATATCCCAAAGATAAAAGGCACAGAATGAAAATTAAGAATGAGATGTATCTAAAGAGGTAAAAAGTGTTCATAAATCTGTTTAGAACAGAATAGACAGGGAAGCAAGTAAAGATTTGAGACATTTTATACAAATCAATTTTGTAAATAACTGTTACCATAGTGCCACATTCACTGTAATCCACTGCGAATAGTTATTCTAAGAACGATTATATAAGATACATGTCTTCAAATGAGCATAATCCATATGCTTTTTTTTCAAGAATAAACCATTTCTTGTCTTACACTGAACAAAATTATAAACTTTTGTTTTTGCCCCCATTTTTCATGAGCTGAACTCAAAGATCTAAGACTTTTTCTATGTACACAAAAGGCCTATTTCTCTACTCTTTGATAAAAATACAATGATACATTATTAAAATAAGCAAAGGAGAAGTGCTCACTAACACAGATTTAGACAGATTTGTGAACAATATTTGAGAGAAATAGGCCTTTTGTGTACATACAAAAAGTCTTAGATCTTTTAGTTCAGCTCATGAAAAATGGGGGCAAAAACAAAAGTGTTGCGTTTATAATTTTGTTCAGTGTAGTTTGTAAAAACAGACATGATGACATTGGACGTCAATACCGTTACCTTCAAAGTCTACATATAACAGAATTATTTTTTTACAAACTTGAGTATTGGACCTGGAACATTCCTTTAAAGGGGTCTTATTATGCTTTTTCACTTTTTGAATTTTAGTCCGTGTGTATGTTTGGGGCTAAAAAAGATCTTCAAACTTACAAATCTCAAAGTCCACTCCAAAGGGAGATAATTCGTTTTTTTTTTTTTAATCCCTTTTCAAGAACTACAACGAACGGCTCGTTTGGACTACAGCGTTTGTTTTCCGGGTTTTGTGATATCACAAAGCGGCCCATTAGAATATCATTAAAATAATTCCCGCCTACGGAAATTGGAATGGTTGGGGGGCGGGGAGGGCCGAGGTTGTGGTTAGAACGCTTGGTTGAGTGAGTGCATCAGACGAGACGACGAAGAAGAAGTGCTGCTGCAGAGTTAGTGCATCAGAGAAAAC